TTTACTAGAAGCATAGACACGGAAAGGGAAAGGTATCTTGAAATAGAAATTTTATGTTTGGTAGGGTTAATTTCAAATCCTGAATCTTTCAATAGCTGTGTGATGTTTGGCAACTTGCTAAATCTCTGGTCTTCTTTAAACTCTGATAGGGATGTTGTGTGGATTAAATGGAAAGTACTATATAAAGTATCTTTTCTGTGACAGCCCATTTTTGGGGTTGCCACAGTCTGGCTGGGCAAAATAACCAGGGGAGCAACAAGCAACTTGTGAAGGTTGATACAGCGGGAGCCGCTTTATTGTCCGACAGCAGAGGTATTTATACCTAACTCATTATACACAGCTTGTCTCAATTAACATCATCCAGATACATCAATCGGTCATCAAGGAATCCTCATCATCTTAATTATACACAGCTTAACTCAATTAACATAAACTAGATACAGCAGTCAGTCATTAAGGAATCTCCATCCTAATGGCTCCATGGTGTTACTTCACAAACCACTCCCTCTGGCAAAGTGCCAGGCACCATCTTGACTTGTTTACAGACCCTAACATTGGGTCAATAATTTATAGCCATTTATATCATAAGGCAGATAAAGTCTTTCCTATTCCAAAAGTTTCAAGGGTTTTAAAGAAACCATACAGAGCAAGAACACAAGATGGGGGCAGTGTTGCTCCTTGGGCTGTGTAACAGCCCCTAAACTTGGTTTCAGCACTGACCTAAATGTATGGGAATCTTGACTTGCCCAAAGTGACCCAGGGTGGCACAGTGTCACTTCACACCACCAATTGATTAAATGTTGGCATGGCTTACTTGTGATTTCTCTCAAGAGCTACATCCATTGAACAAAAAGGGGATTTAAAAATTGATAATGAAATAACAGCATAGACATAAAATCCACAAAGCAGCTAGTGTTTTATCTAGCACTTCATCTTTTGAGGGCCTTCTTTGTCTTTTATGGACCCTATTGTTAATACTGTAACATAACTATTAGTATATTATAAATGTACCAGGTACAATCAAACATTCTTTCATTTGCTTCTTCATATATCCAGAATATATTACTGAAATGGTTAGCATCATGTTTCTATGGTTGGAAGCTAGTTTGAGGGTAGTGATATAGATCAGTGGTAGAGCTTGTGCAAAGACCTAGTATTGCAATAAATAAATAAATGATGAATTAAAAAATGAAGAACAAACCTAGATTCCAGATGTTTATTATTATAAACAGTAGTGCTTGCATATTTTTGGAACTTCAGAAATTGAGGATGGTACTTACAATGACTGTGTGTGTGTGCATGTGTGTGTGTGTGCATGTGTGTGTGTGTGTGTGTGTATGTGCGTATCTCCACTAAAATGTCTTTGTTGAAATTTGTATTTTATAATTGCTCATTTCATGTATTTTACAGAATGAAATAAAATAATTCTACACATCCATACATTTTCTTCTCATTTCTTCTTAACAGACAGATGCTAATTTTCTGAATTTGTTTCCTAGCTTTCATAACAATTGTAATTTTTTAAACACTTAATAAAATCTGAGACAGAGGACAAAGTGGGTAACGTTTTGTAACGATTGCTGCAATTCCATAATGACAGTGTTGACAGAGCTGGTGAAGAAAGGAGTGGAAAAGAAAAAGGCTTTTCTTCCATATAGTCCTTAGGCAGTGTTACAAGAGTGGAAGACCAGCGACCCAGTGAGGCGAAGCCAAGTTTTGCACCTGGTACACAAGAAATTCTAAATGCTTGGATATTATAAAGGAGTTTTGAAAGGGCACATATTTTTGTAGTTCTATATTCAGAGTCAATCTGAATCTACTGTGGGCTAGACAATGTTAACATTAAAATGTTACTTCAATGTCTTGTTTTAGATTGATATACCTAAATGCTGGTTCAGTTGCAAGCATTGATAGTTTTGATATGGTGTTCCCCTGAGAAGAGAAATAACAGAAAGTAAATAACCTTTGATTGTTCTTGTTCTTTAATCTGACTTGTTATTGGTAACATTAATTTAGGACTGGCATTACAGGTATATGCCACAGTACCTGATTTAGTATTTTTCTTTTAATATATTTTCTGCTACTTCTCTAATTTTTGAGAACTGATAAAAAGCTGCCATCCTATAAAAGTCTCATCTCAAAGGAAATATCATTATTAGTAAGAATATACAGTTCCCCAACATGATTGTCTTCCACTGATGAATAGGTTTTCTTTCTAAATCCCTTCCTCTAGCAATTTGATACTTTAGGGTCAATAATATTACTACCCTATTGTATTTTTTGAATAAAATGTATCAAAGGGAAGTGGAGACTTTTATCTGTGTTAACATGTGATTAGTCCTGACACATCAGATGTACTATGGAGAAGTTCATTTCCTTTGAAGTTCACTGCAATGGTTTATTATTAAATAAAGCGGTGATCCTGGTGACACATCAAGAGACCATGATGACCTGAAATTATGAATGAACAAATGATCTGTTTTCTAATACCTTTGCCAATTATCAAATGGACCAAATACCTTACTTTATCAAAAACATCTAAGCATGACTTTCCAATATTCTCTCAAACTGTCTTCTTTGTGCTGTCAGATTTAAGATTCTGCTGCACTGTGTGCACAGTACTGTCTCAATATTATCACAATATTTCAGCCTTCAGAGGCTGGAGGTATGGTCCTCATGAACCCTGCTGAAATGTTTTATTTTCTAGTGAACTCTGAGCTAGCAGATCAAATACTTTACTCTTCTTCAGCCCAGACAGGGCTGAATACATTCTTTTAGATGCACAGGAGATGTTGGAGATAGTATTGATGGGAGATATCAATATATATAATCTACTCAATTTGCTGTATATAAATTACTGGAAATTTAAATAATAAATTGATTTAAATAGATTAGTGTGTATTATAGACTCAAAATAGTGTATTTTTTAATATTGAGTTATTGGAAAGCATTGCAATATTTTATTACTCATAAGCTTTATTAGTCAGAATATCATAAAAGCAATAAGAAATTAGAAATATTTTGGGGTTGTGATATGCATCCACAGTGAGAGGCTTAATCATGGGGACAACGGTTAATATATAGTACTCAGGCATACTGTGCTAGGTATGTTGCATGCCTCAGCTCAGGGGATATTAAACTCTAAAAGGTCTGACAATAAATGTGTTCTCCAGTTTAATGAACCACATGGTCTCCATTGACTACTCAACTCCACCATCACAGAGCAAAAGTAGTCATAAACGAGCAAGCTTGGCTATGTCCTAATAAAATCTAGTTTAAGGTTACTGAAATGTGAATTTCATATGACTTTCACACATAATGAAATATTATTCTTAAAATTTTTATAACATTTAAAATTGGAATCATTATTCTTAGATCACTTGAAATAGATGGTAGGTTGGTATTGGCCCAGGTAATATAGGTTGCTGACCTTTGCATTATCTCACTGGGCTAGTGAAGATTTCCTAAATAATCAGATATATTGTGATTATGTAGTCAAGTGAGTAGGAAATAATTTTCTTACTAACCTTGTTCCCCATTCTACTGCCATGTTTTACCTCCTTGCTAGCACTGTGATTGATGGGGCTTTATTCAATACATGCTAAGGTTAACAGTATATATAGCTCGAGCTCTAGAAATATTAACTTAAAAACTGCAATATTAACTTAAAAACTGCTATCAATTACAAGGATATACAACAATCTTTAGGGTTTGAGAACTGCAGTGACATGACTAGATTTGAGCATTTTTATAGACCAAGCTGCTTGTAGAGTTGGACGGCAGAGAGACAAATTGCTGCAGTAATCTAGGGGAGAAAAGACACTATTCTGGACTGGGGTGATAGAAAAAGAATACCAAGAATAGTAGACAGATTTCAGATGTATTAAGCATTGGGTTCTTCTTTTAAAGAGGATAGAATAACTTGTTTGATACATATTTCACCTGATAAAAGAAATTGAAGTACTTCTTAACATATTTTTTAAAATACTACCTAAATTTAGTTGAGATAATGTACCATCTTTTTCTTCTTTTAATTATTAATAATTATTTAAAATTCATAGGATCCTCAAAGTGGAGCACATTTTTGTTTTCCAAACATAAAAGTTTAAAATACTTTTCTGGTAAAAAAAAAATTTTCGGGGCTGGGCCTATAGCTCAGTGGCACAGCGAGTACCTAGCATGTGTGAGGCACTGGGTTCTATCCTTAGTACCGAATAAAAAACTAAACAAATAGAGGGAAAAGGAGGGAGAAGGGGAATTGCATGGATGGTGGATGGAGACACTCATCCTTGTACAAAATACATGTATGAAGATGTGAATTTGGTGTCAACATATCTTGTATACAGAGATATGATAAACTGTGGTATAAAGGTGTATTAAGAATTGTAATGCTAATAATAATAATAAGAAGAAGACAGCTCATGTAAAATAAATAAATAAAAATTTAAAAAAACTAAACAAAGTCATGCTGTGCATCTACAACTATAAAAAATAAATTTTAAAAAAATTCTGGCCAGGCGCCTAGTGCATGCTCCTAATCCCAGCTACTCGGGAGGCTGAGGTCAGCCCCAGCTGGGACCCTTAGCAATTAAGCTAGACCCTGTTCCAAAACAAAAAATTTAAAAAGGGCTGGGATGTAGCTCAGTACCCCTACTTTTAATCCACAACCATCACGGTCCATGACCAGGAATCGCTATGTGGGGACACTATCTCCCTATTTCCAGATTTCCCAGCGCTCCTGCGTGCCCAGACTTGCCTATCCCCGATACTTAACTCCAACCTCCCTCCTCCTCCTCCTCCCTCCAGTTTTCTCCACCCCACTTTCCCGCCCACCACTGAGCCCCGCCCCCTCCAGTTCCGCAACCCAACTCCTTCTCTGCTTCCGTCGCTTTCCCCTTTCTCCGCCCCCAGGCTGTCTTCGATTGGCTAAACTTGCTGCGCCGCGGCAGGGATGCTGCAGAGATGCATGCTTATTGGCTGGAGGGCAGACCGGACCCCTTATGATTGGCTGGTCCCAGGAACCAGCAAGTGTGGCTGCGCTCCAGGGTGTGTGGACGCCGCTTTGTTGCCTGAGGGGGGTGGCGGTGGAAGTTCAGGGGGTCGAGGGTTACCGCTCCTCTAGACCAGCAGTTGCGGCCGCTGCAGTCACTTCGCCCGGTAGCCTTTAGCCTAGGAGTCGCGCCGACAGCAGCCATGAGCGGTGGCGTGTATGGGGGAGGTGAGTGAGCGCGTTTAGACGAAAGAGCGCGCCTTTTCCGCGTGTAGGGTTTGTAACCACCACCGCTAGTCCTCCCCTCCACGGCGGTCCCTTCCGGTCTCCCCCTCTCGGGACCCCGGCCTCCCCGCCCCATCCCCGCCCCGCGCTCTGCCCGCCCACGGAGCCTACGGGCACAACCGGCACCTCGGGCGCCAGGCAGTCGCCGCTCTCTCGACTCCTGTCTGTCTCTGGACACCGAGGAGCGGGGTTTTGGGGGTGTGCGCTCCGTCCCCGAGGGACGTCCCGGTTGAATGACCGGCATCCAGGGTCACTTCTCCCCGAGGGTCTGCAGAACGCCGCTGTCGGGTTGTGTGTTTGTGTGTGCTTGTGTGTGCGTGCGCGCGTGTTTCAACTTGGGAGGTCCTGGTAGCTTGCTAGCGTGGACCTAGGGTTTCCGCAACGTCCCACAGACTGCAAAGCCGGCGCGAGGGCAGAACTGATTGGAAGATGCGTCCTCCCGTGGTCTGCGTCCAGAGCTCGCGCGGCCTCACACCTTTCAGTAACTCCTGCTTATTTGTTGACTGCGACGTTACTTGTGGCGGGACTGCTTGCGATTAATTTGGAACACATGTAATTTAAGGATGACCAGAAAGTTGACCTGGGCCTTAGGCGCCTGGTCTTTCATGGTCTTTGGATAGGCTGTGATGTAGCAGATGACCACGCCTGCGAATTGTGGTCCTGGATTGTAGTTCCAGCCTGTTTTAGCTTGGGCTTGGACAGTTTTTAATAACCTTTTTCCAACTTCTGGCTCATTTGTGGAATAATTTTTATCCCTTGGTGTGTTTGAGAAGGTGAAATGAGATGATGCTACCATTGCCACTCGTGTGTGGTTTGTGGACCAGAAGTGTTAGCATCACTTGCAAACCCTTTAGAAACGTAGAATTTAAACCTTCACTCTAAATCCACTGATTTAGAACTTCTGTTTTTTGCAAGATCCCCAAGTGCTAGGAAGCACCAGTGTATATGTTTTGGATTGTGTTCAGTTGAGTTAGAGACCTACTCTACAAAGCGAAAGTATTGTGGTTGTTACAGTTTCTAATAAGGATCCTGTTTCTGAAGAGGATGGCATTTTACACGTAAGGAATAACAAAAATAAGGTTATAAAGAATAGTTTTGGGTGGATAATTGCAGCATCTCTTCCGATGTGGTAAAGCTGATCCTCACCTCCTTCCTCCCTGTTATGTTTTTCCTTTTGGTTGCTTAGTGTGGGTAGTTTCCCATTTTTTTTTTTTTCCTTTTGAGAAGGCCCAGCAGATGTTCATGATTTACCTCTTTCCAGTCTAAAGGTGCAATCCTAAAGAAAAACTGGATCTTGCTTTTGCCTTGTAGAACTAATTGACTATATTATGACTTTCATGCTTACTGACCCAAAGAGCTGGAAACTATCCATTATTTCTTACAAGGCAGTGTTTGTGACTAAGTTAGAAAGGAATAATAGTAATGCCAGTAGATAACATTTATTGAGTACATACTGTAGGCCAAGAACCATTCCAAAGACTTTATAAGCATTGCATTTAATAATACATTAATTCGTTTAATTAATTACAATTGTATGAATTGGTACTGCTGTCTCCTGTTTTTGAAGAAATTACATAACTTCTTACTAAGTTGGGAACAAAGATCCTGGGATGAAGAAAAGGCATCTCAGTAAAACCTTTTCCGTTCTTAAAAGAAAGTTACTTGGAATGCATTCCACTGTCATATATAAAAAATTAAATTAAAAATATTATTAGACTCAAAAAAAAAGTTACATACTCCCATGTGACTTGGCCAAGTGCTTTGAAGGAGACGGAAAGTGAGGTCAGGAAGGGTAAATCAGGCCTACTTCCATCTCTGTACTGATTTCCTCCCATGGCCAACCAGATGACCCAGGAAGAGACCAGAGAAAATTATTAACAGAGAGGCAGTCCTGTCATGGGACTTCAAGGAGATAAGCCAAGTTCAGTCCTCCATCAGTGTTGGAGAGAGCAAGAAGGAATGGGGCATGCCTCAGAAAAACATAAAGGTTACCCATGACTTGGCATGACCTTTCCTAGCCACTGCTCCATGTTGAGGGCCATAATGTAAATCTGTGTTATGCCTTAAGAATGAAGGTTTCTCAGTTCGTGGAATGTTTCTAAAAATCTGTTTCTACATTTGAGGAACATTAGTATTGCCTGCTACCCACCAAGTTCACCAAAATGTTTCCTTGCATGTTTACTACTATTAGTCAGAACCTGGTTAGATTAATCTTTGTCCTAGAATTATGAACTGTGTTTTAAACTTTACTTTGGGAAATATTTATTGTTTTAGAGAAATTTCAACACAATGGAATGACTTCTCATAAAGGAAAACAAAACTATGATTATTCTAGTTCTTCTTATCAGCCTTCTTTTTGTTTGTTTTTTTTTGGGGGGGGGTTCTTTTATCTAACTATTTATTATTGTCTTTTTTGGAACTGGAGGTCAAACTCAGGACTTTGGGGATGTGAGGCAGATGTTTTGCCACTGAACTACATCCCAACCCCAGCCTTCCTTCTTTTAACATTTCTTGTTAGCCTTTTTTTTTTTTGGTCATTTGCCAAGATAAATGGACTTGATGTCAAAAAATAAAAATTTGGGAAAATTAAAAAAAATAAAAGAAAGAAACTTACTTAATTTCTTCTCTGTAAGTCATTTTTCATGTCCACAACTGCAGCATCATCATGTATGGTTTAAGTATTGAGAATTAACTTCCTGCTTCTTACTGGTTTATATAGAGAAATATATCTGAAAGACTGTTTTGTATATATAGTATTTAAAACTCATAAGTTTGATTTGTGTTTGTATAATATTTGTGTAGGTATAATATTTATGAGTCATTTTCCAAAGTTTACTGTAAAAACCATCTAAACCTTCCACTTGAATTTTGAGTAATTAACTTAAACTGTATTTTTAACCTGATTGCTTATTTAAAAAGACATTTGTAGTTTAAATTTTTAAAATTTATGCCTGTTTTCTTCTACTGATTACTTGTGACTGATAATTTGTAACTGGTTTCTGGTCCTACTCATGCAGCCATCTTTCATGGTACTTCTTCTCTTCTTCCAACTCCTTCACATGATAAAAATAAACAGGTATACTACTAGCCTAACTTTCATCAGTTGTTAGTTTCATCATTTTTTTTAACCTTTTTCTTCATGAATCTTTTTTTTTT